GGTAAACATCCACTCTATCGCTAGGATGCTTTCGACAGCTTCGCCGGATCGTGCCAACGACGGTCGGAACGACGCAGCCCGCGAGAAACTGCCTCGGTAGATTCCTTCGATCAAGCATTCGAAACCTCGTGCGGGCCTACGAAGTTTTCTCGAAGATTCGTTTTTGGGACCATCGGCGTGAAGCCGTTTCTTCGACGAGTCCGACTTCCGATGGTTATTTCTAATTATAAGCTAATGATTGCAAATGTTATTCCGTTTTAATATTCTGTTACTTAGAAATTTAAAAAAAAATTAAGAATTCCATGTTCGAATGATTTTACTCGACGAACCATGAAAATGATGCGAAGCAAAATAGACTGATCGCACGCGAGTAACAAGACAAGAATAATAATATAATAATATAACAATATAACAATATAACAATGTAATAATCTAATAATATAACAACATAATAATGTAATAATCTAATAATATAATGATCTAATAATATAATAATATAGCAATATAATAATATAATAATATAATAATATAATAATATAACCATATAACAATGTAATAATATAACAATATAACAATTTAATAATCTAATAATATAACAATATAATAATATAGTAATGTAATAGTATAACAATATAACAATATAATAATATAATAATATAACAATATAGTAATGTAATAATATAACAATATAACAATGTAATAATCTAATAATCTAATAATATAACAATATAATAATATAATAATATAGTAATGTAACAATATAACAATATAACAATATAATAATATAATAATATAACAATGTAATAATATAATATTATAATAATATAATAATATAGTAATGTAATAATATAACAATATAACGATATAATAATATAATTAATAAACGAAAGATCTCAGATCCCAAAACTCGCCACGAAGAATATGTCGCCACGATCGGGACCCGTAACAGCGACTCAATTCCTGCGGGAAATGAATCGGCGAACGACGTGCGAACAAAGTCGGATAGATCGGAAGATGATCCACAGGTCGCGAACACCCGGTAAAATCTTATCGGGCGTTTTGTACGAGCGTATGCACACGTGCATACGTCGGGCCGAGAGTTTTACGGGCGAGCGTTATCTATTTCGTGGATCGATCTGTTACGAATGTGCCCGTCGTGCGTCGGGAAACGAGAATTTCGAACACGTTACCGAATCGTCCCGTAAATATTTCAGCCGCAGTCGTAATCTCTGATGAACCGGTGGCCCGCGGCTAAATATTGATAGAAAATTTGAGCAGCTAGCATCTGCCGCGTGCATTATGCACGGCGAATAAGTGTTCGCTATCTGTTAACGCGACCCGTATCTTCTTCAGAAAGACGGGAGACTTCGGGGTGTAACGGGGAGAGAAAGAGAGAGAGAGAGAGAGAGAGAGAGAGAGATCGCGTCTGGCTCAGGTGCGCCGGAAGGCTTCGCTCAGAAGGACCTTTGCAAATCCTTGCGGCTTCGCCTCGATTCGCCGTCGGATTATTCGATCTTGACAATCGAGGTCTCGGATTAACGTTAACTGATTAATCGGCGACTGGAATTGTCTGGGACCTTCTTGGAAATTGTCGAAGTCCCGTCGCTAAGGGGTTACATCCATTCCAGTGGTCGAAAAAACATGGCTTTTTCTCTCCTCTGAATTATTTTCTGAAAATTCTTAAGAAGCGATAAAAACGAGGGTTTAATATGAACGAGTGGATTAGAATCATAGTGGCGTAAATCAGAATTTCGAAAATTTTCGCTTACGCCTTGAAATGTAATTCGTACGTGCCAAAATGTTGAAAAAACGAGTGAAATAAATGATAAAGTTACCATACGTTGACTTAAGTCTGGATTATCTTGACAATAAATTTAGTTAGCAAATTATATATACATTAATAAAACAATAACACTCCTCGTTTCTCACTATGAGGATGATGCGACTTACGTCACTGTGATTCTAACGCATTCGCATATTTTTAAGTACTCAAATCAATTTTTAATTTTCCGAAAAAAGTACGAAAGAATTTATAATACTTAACAATATTTAATACCGAAAGGAGGCCACTGGGCAGCCATTTTGTACTCTTTTAGAAAATAGAATTCATCTGAGCACCCAAAGATGTGTATAATAAACCTTCAAAATCTCGTTTGTATTGCTTTATAAAAATTTAAAAAAAAAAATTCCCCAAAAATGCCCCAAAATGCCGTTTAATTCAATTCCTTGAACATTTAGCTTGATAAGGAAGACAAAGTGGCTCGTTTATTTATTTATCTGGGCTAGCAGTTAACTGCATCGTACGAAGCTTGTAAAATTAATAGAGGCTCGTGCGCCTACGTCGTGCACCTTTAGCAATTTGCTCTTTAAATATTAAATTGCTTTGTCTGTCTTCCGACACCGTAATCACTGGCGACGTTTGAAACAACAATTTCAAAGTTGAAATGAAACGCAATTTTCTTATCTGCGCCGATGCTTGAAAGGGGACGAGCGAAAGATTAAAATCCGAATACAAGGTGTAACAAAATTCAGCACAGTTCCGTTTGATCGTACTCTTTTTAGACCTTTTTCCGCGTATATTATTTATTTATGTAATCCGTATCGGCATGGTCCTTTTGCTCTCGTGCAGCCGCTGTGCCAATATTTTTTTCGGATTCGAGGCGAGCAAAGTTCACGTCGTAGGGAAAACAAGATTTTCCAATCTGCATGAAATACCAAATGAATCTGCAATGTCCCGTGCCGAAAATTCTAGTTACAATTCTAGTTACAAGAGCTTCAATTCCGAGCTTCGCACGAGAACCGAGGAACGGAGATAAGTCGAAAATATGGAATAAATTTTTTTCATTGGGGACTTTGTTTAAAAAAAAAAAATGGACTTGGTACAGTTTTTCTATTCGTCTTCATCATAAAAAATTTAGATCTATCACCGCTAGATTTTTATTTGTGGAGTCATCAGTTAAGTCTATTCTGTATACTGACGAAGTACTAAATACAGGGAGTCCGAAAAATTACTTAAAATCGGGAAATAAGGCGTCCCTGAGGTCATTTGAAGTAACTTTTTTCTTAGCGCAAATGCAATCCGTAGCTTTGTTTACGAGTTACAGTAAATTCTCCCTAATTTTCCTTCGGCTTGTAAACGAAAATGGACAATTTGGGAAGAGGGGGTACGATTATTCGAGCCCCGCGGCTTATTTTTATAGTCGCCGATTGTCAACAATTATAAAAACCAGGTGCAAGGCTCGAATAATCGTATTTCTAATCTTCTATCTATTTTTGTTTACAAGTTGGAGGAAAATTAAGGAGAATTTACTGTGTTAACGAAAAACACTGACCAACGAGCGGACGAAGCTCAGTTTCGTCTTATTCGCCGATCTCGCCTCTCATTGGCCACTGTTTTTCGTTAACACTAGATTTACGGAACTCGTCAAAATGACGGGTCGCTAATTTTTTAATTTACGATTATTCATGTCGCAAAGATACATCTCCCTAATTTTCCTTCGGCTTGTAAACGAAAATGGACAATTTGGGAAGAGGAGAAACGATTATTCGAGCCCCGCAGTTCATTTTTATGGTCGCCGATTGTCAACAATTATAAAAACCAGGTGCAAGACTCGAATAATCGTATTTCTAATCTTGTTTACAATCTATTTTTGTTTACAAGTTGGAGAAAAATTAAGGAGAATTTACTGTGTTAACGAAAAACACTGACCAACGAGCGGACGAAGCTCAGTTTTGTCTTGTTCGCCGATCTCGCCTCTCATTGGCCATTGTTTTTCGTTAACACTAGATTTATATTAATACTAGATTATATATAATAAATAAAAGATAAATACATAGATAAATACTAGATTATATATAACAAAAGATAAATACATAGATAAATACTAGATTATATATAATATTATATTAATACTAGATTATATTAATATTAGACTTTTTAATTTACGATTATTCATATCGCAAAGATACATCTATCAGTTATTTATTCAATTTCAATGTCAAATGTTACAATAGAACTTGCTAAAAATCAGAGCAAATGTCCTATTGTTGCTTTTATAAACCAATATAAACCAGCTGTTTTTTGGGCTCCGTAAATCTAGTATTAATAACTCGTAAACAAAACCGCGGATCGTGCCAAAGAAAAATCGACTTCGAACGACTTCAAAAACCCCTCCCATTTACTTCGAGTAACTTTTGGGACACCCTGTACCGATAAAACAAACATCGGCGAATGCCACGGTATAACAGAAATAATTACCATGTCGTTTGAAAAGAAGCAAACAAAAAAATTGCAAAACAATTGCGGAAACGTTCGCAGAAAAATTCAATTAGAAGAACGCAATTATGTAAAAGACACACAGAACGGACGCATCGTTATCAGCGATATTTCCGGCGATAAAGTTTATCTGAAATTAAATAAGATTCATCCCGGATCCCCTTAACGCGTCATTGCTCCCGTAGCTCGATATTTCCCGTCACGAACAGACGCCGCGACCAAAATCCCGAGGTAGAATATTCCTCGAGACAGCGCGAGAGGGCCGGAGGGCCCGTCGAACCGGAAGATACTGATAACTGGTAAACGCATTATTCCGGGTGCGCGTCGGTTCGCCGCCGGCGGCGGCGGGCCGGTCCTAATCAACTAAGTTCCGCGGCAAATATTAACCCGTGCGTGGAGGCCGCCGGAAACTCGTCCGTGGTCGCGGAGGATCCTCGCGGAGGATCCGCAGAAGCCGTGCGGAGCCGTCGAGCAGAAGCATTGACCCTATCGCGCTCAGGTGCAGCGTCAGGTGCTGTCGCGTTGTTGGCAGCCAGGTGAGGCGAGAGGGTGAAGGGGTGAGCACAGGTGGGACGCGGGTCGCCGTAGGCAAATCGGGGGTGGGAGAGCGAGACAGATAGAGGGGGGACGGCGAGGGGAGTCGGGCTGGCTCGGCTGCAGTCTAAAATACGCCGAGCGTGGTCCGGTGGGGGTGTGCAGGTGGCAGAGAAGGTCGGAAGGTTACGAGAGCGCAGACGCCGACCGAAAGCATCGAGGATAGCACCCGGCACGGCACCGAAGTACCGGACAGAGCTAGCTCGTCCGCAACGCTGCGCTCGTCCGACAGGAATCCCGGACCTAACCCCCGAGATTAAAACCGCGCACGATTGATCCCGACCGGTGCCCCTGCGATCCACGCGATCCCGGCCGCCTCTCGATCGCCCGCCTCTCGTGCCCGCCGACCTTGGACCCCGAGACCGTGCGTCGATCAGCGGAGAAACCAACCGGCGCAACGCCGCGAGTTACCGGCGGATTCGAAGAGAGCCACTCGAACCTTTCCCGCGCTACGTGCTACCACTCTGCACCTGTTAACCGGGAGCCGACGCAGTCTTCTTTGTTGGGGAACACGCCAGGTAAGCGAACGCGACGGTGACCCGGCGCCGGACGCCACGGCCCACGGCCCGAACCTTTCCGAGAGTGACAGTGTGTTTGTTACGTGTTGCTTCATTCGGCTATAAGCGTCTTCCAGCTAAAGCGCGCTGAAACGCGTCTTCGGGGACGCCTCTGCCAACAGCCTGCACGCGCGGCTCATGATTTAGGGTGGACGGACTTTAAAGTGCGTTTGTTTTTTGGAGCAGCTGACGGGGACAGTGGAGATCGTTGACGGAAGGACGCGTAAATAAATACGAGTCCACGGGGGAGAGATTGTGTGGTTGAGGGAAGTTTCTTTGGCGGAGACGCCGACGGATTTCGTGGATGATCGATGGAAATTGTATTTGCTCGAATTTGCCGCAAACGCGGTGCCCGGGTCAATTTTGACTGGGAGCAGTTACATCGTTCGGTTGGTTGATCAATTTTCGGTGATTTAATCGCGTAAATTGCTGGCGCATTGGGAAGGAACGGAGAGGATGATAGAGGGCTGCGAGAGAAATATGTTGAAAAATATGTTTGGAAAATTGTTGAATAGAGCTCGGAATTTGTTATGAACATCGTCGATGGCACGGTTGGTGAACACGGTCGGTCGCGCGAGGGTTAAGTAGACCGAGAATTTTACACGTTCGACGCGGAAACGAGTCGGTGAAACGTTAAATTGGTTCGTTGTACTCGATCCTTTCGAATCATCGAATTACTACGAGCAAACACGGTAAACAATTATGTTATTATCGTCTCGCGCGTACATTGCTCGAAGTGGTTGGTGCACAAAGCTCCTTGGCAATTAGCACGCTGATGCATTTCTTCTCCTTTTTTCCTTCAGACCCGGCGCTCTTAGAACTCTTCCCGACGAAGTTGCTTTAGCCCAGAAAAATTGAGCGTAACGCGAGTAGAAAATGAACGGACGGCGCGCGTTCACTTTCATAGAGCTTTCGTAGTTTCGCGTAAAGATCCGCAGCCCAATTAAGAATACGAATCTTTTTCGGCGAGAACGAAAAGATTCGCGCAATCGGTTTAAACGGAATAACGCATGCATAAAGCTACGTTCTAATCGAACGTCGTACCGATACGTCGCGGTGACAAAATGATTATTGTCCGGTCGAGTGCTCGCAAGAAGCGAACAAAGCATATTCTACGGCTCGATCGAAATTGAAATTGCATGCGGCGATGCAGTTTCGGATTATCGGCGACGATTTTGCCGCTGTGCAACGTTCGATTACAACGCGGCGCTCTGCAGCCCGTGGCAGAGTGAGTAGACAAGGGAGCAGTGCTGGCCTGTTTGGACATTTATTATACTTTATATCCTTGCATTTCCATAATTTGCAATCTCCGATACAGTAATTTCTCCCTAATTCGCGCACAGATTGCGCGCAAAAATGGACAATTTGGGAAGAGCGGATACGATTATTCGAGCCTCGCGGATCGTTTTCGTAGTTGTTGACTATAAAAACGGGCCGCAAGAATTTTTGTGCACGATCTGGCCGTGAATTAAGGAGAATTTATTGTACATCGCGCGTTTAGATCGTCCTAGGTTTTGTAACAAGTGTGACAGAAATGCGACAGCGATCTAATTAACATGCAGAATTTCGAACTGTTAGGCGTGCGTATTCATTTGTGGCTGTCACAAGTAATTGTCGATTATTTTCAAGATTTTAACGTGCTTTGGTTGTTCGTGAATGGACAACAAAATGGGGACAGGTCACGAATTGACTTTGTTCTCTTCTCAAGGGACACAGAACAAAACTGCTCATAATTTTTCAACAATCTTTTGTTCCGTGTAATCAGCATCGTATAAACTTTTTACCAAATTTTATTCGAACAGTCCAATTATTCCCAACGTTCTATCATTTTATATTTCCTTTGAAACGCTGCTTATTGTCTCGCGAATAAACACGTTCGAGTTTTTGATAGGCGATCTTAAAAAATCCTCCGTATCGCAGAGGATTAACAATGCTCGGTATTCGCTATAATTAATAACGTGCACGATATATTAACACTAGATTTACAGAGCACAAAAAACAGATGTTTTATATTAATTTATAAAAGTAACAATAAGACATCTATTCTGATTTTTAACAAGTGTCTAATATAAATTGAAAAAATAACTCATAAATGTATCTTCACGAGATGAATAATCGTAAATTAAAAACTTAGCGACCCGCCATTTTGACGGGCTCCGTAAATCTAGTGTGAATAACACACAGAAAATCGTTCAGAAGGACAAATATCATGGAATAGCTTAGCGAGCAGAAACACCGCAGGCCACCAGAAACCCGACAATACCAATTAAAACTCCGGAGCTCGGATCCATCCGGATCCACGATACAAATATTGTCATATTATCAGGATATTAATGTTCTAACTTTGTCCCACGAATCTAGTTCCCGACAAATAATTACATTTTTCGCGCGTTTCATTAAGATCCCGCAATAAACCGACGCGTCCAGCGACAGCACCTTGAAAGATCAGCTGACACAAATTCATAAATAAAATTACAAACAATCCATAGCACACATACTGGGTCACGCTTTCACGCGAAAGGACCGTCGCTCGAGCGTTAAGAATCAACATTATTCCGCCTATAAAGTAGCAAAGAATTTCATAGGGCCTCGCGTTAAGGTGTCTCGGACGTGTAACCCGCATCCCCTTCCCCCCTCTCCCTCCCCCGACAGCCTGGTCTTTGACCGTGTGCCGTAAAGTTTCCGTAAGTTCGGCGACACGTAAATTAACTAAACGAGCCCAGCGGATTATTAACCCTGCTAACGATCACGCCGGCGAACTTCTCCGGGTCTTAATGCGAGGCCGCAACTTCTGCGACACCGAGAGGGATGCATTCAATCCCAGGAGTACATGGTTCGCCCGATATGGGACGAGAACAGTTTTCCGAGTTCGAAACCCGGGGCGCGGTTTCGCAAGGGAACGGTCTGCGGATACCGGTGCTCGGATCGGAGGCAATTTGCTCGTCTACGGGAACGGCTGCGCGTATTTGATGAGATATTAATGGTATCGCGGCTGACAATGCGGGGAACGCGTTCTCGCCGCGCTAACCCCTGTAACCGTGGCATCTAATCTTCCCACACGGATTTCCGGCTGCGTGAACAAGCCTGAATGCGGAATATTCTCCTTGCGCGTTTACGCTTAAACGGCTTATCGCTCTTTGAATCGGTCGCACCACCGCGCACAGAAAAACAACGCGAGTGCCTCGCTCCATGGAATACTGAACAACCGGTGGTTACCTCTGCGACGAGGCTTCCTTTAATACCATGATCTTGCACCGTTTCAGTGACGCAATTGGTCGGCGATTTCAATATTTCGTCATTATTCAGTTTGTTTCTTTTTGCGATTCTAATTTGCCTGGGAAATATTGCGGTGGTGTCAACTGTTCTGTAATTTTTGCGTAGATGTATTAATTAGTTTAGCGTATTCAGCGTATTAATTAGTCTGAAGGTGTTGCAGTTTCATTTTGAACACGTAGATCGACGTGACGGCGCGCTTTGAATAGGGGAATTTTCAGATAATTTTGTTAGAACTTAATAGAATTGTTAAAGAGAATATAGATGGGGATATTAACAGTGTGTAAATTAGTTTAAATATCGTGTATCTTTATTTTGAACATGTAGATCGACGTGACGGTTTACTTTGAATAGGGGAATTTTCAGGTAATTTTGTTAAAATTTAATAACATTGTTAAAGAGAATATAGACGGGGTAAATTAGTTTAAATATCCTGTATTTTTATTTTGAAAGTGTAGATCGACGGTGTACAATGAAAAGAAGAATTTTGGGATAATTTCGCAAAGATATAATGAAATTGTTAAACCGAATATAGATGGGTATATTGACAGTATATAAATTAGTTCACAAATATTCTGTATATTTATTTTGAAAGTGTAGATTGATATGGGAGTGTAGAATGAATGGAAGAATTGTGAGATAATTTTGCAAAGATATAATAAAATTATGAAAAATAATATAAATATGCATAATGTTCATACTGTATAAATTAGTTTAAATATCCTGTATTTTTACTTTGAAAGTGTAGCTCGTCGTGACAGTATAAAGTGAACAGAAGAATTGTGAGATAATTTTGCAAAGATATAATAAAATTATCAAAGAGAATATAGATTGCCATAATATTCGCACTGTATAAATTAGTTTACATATCCTGTATTTTAATTTTGGAAGTGTAGCTCGACGTGACAGCATAGAACGAATGGAAGAATTGTGAGATAATTTTGCAAAGATATAATAAAATTATCAAAGAGAATATAGATTGCCATAATATTCGCACTGTATAAATTAGTTTAAATATCCTGTATTTTCACTTTGAAAGTGTAGCTCGTCGTGACAGTATAAAATGAATAGAAGAATTGTGAGATAATTTTACAAAGATATAATAAAATTATCAAAGAGAATATAGATTGCCATAATATTCGCACTGTATAAATTAGTTTAAATATCCTGTATTTTAATTTTGAAAGTGTAGCTCGACGTGACAGTATATAACGAATAGTAGAATTTTCAGATAATTTTGCAAAGATATAATAAAATTATGAAAAATAATATAAATATGCATAATGTTCATACTGTATAAATCAGTTTGAATCTCCTGTATCTCCATTTCGAAAGTGTAGATCGACGTGACAGTGCGCAGCGAACAGTATTCACGAATAATTCTGCGAGGAAGTACAATAAAATTGTTGAGGACATTATTCGCGGAGAAGTTGAGTGAATAAATTCGGTTCTGTGGGATTCTTGCGGCAGCCCGGGACGACGGTGGCCGTGTTAACGCGGGTCCGTATAATGAGCTGCGAAAATTGCGACAGTGTTCGTATAACAAGGTAAAAAGGGCTCGTACGTTACGATGTTTACGGCAGTGTGTTTACATTTTTACAGAGCTGCGGGGAGAGTCGCGATTGCAGTCGGTAGATCGATAGCGTATATGCCGTGGAAAATAGTAAACAAAGCAGCTGTCAAAGGAA